TTTTTTGAGCATTTCCCATGGGTTTGGGGTCCAAAATTTTTTTTTTTTTTTTTTTTTTTTTTTTTTTGTAGTTTTTCTTTTACTTTTGCTAAATTACTTTCAGTACGTATGATTGCAGTTTGTAGTCATGGTTTTTCTTAGTGGGAATGCAAACAGATGGGAATTCTATCATACAAACTGATAGGGAGCATGTTGTTGCATGTTGTCTTAGATGAAGCTCTGCATATCTACCTTTTTGACAGAAAACAAAACTGGTTTGATTGCTTGTTTTTATTGCTGGATGAAACTTTGTGCATTGTTGTTAGACTTGTCATATGCTAACTGTGTGTTGCCTCGTTTGCATTAGCACCTTGTTTTGTTAGATTTTTTTTTTTTTTTAATTATTATTATTTCCACATAGGGGTGTAACCACAATGCTGACTGCTAATTGAAATGAGCAATACAATATATTTTGGAAAATTAATAATAGCCCATTGTGTGCAGTTTTGCCTTTTAAAGCAAGAATGGATTGCGAAAAAGTTAAAATGGCGCCTTAAATTCTGGTGTAGAAAATATATGTTTTTAAGTTCAAGACATGCTTGTTTCTAAATCTGAATTTAAAAGGCAAACTTAAAACCTTTCAAAACACCTTCAAAACTAGTAAGCATTGTTTTCCTTAACACATTAAAACTATTTTTATTTTTATTTCATTTTTTTGTGAATATTTTGAATGCTTGGTGATTGCGGGTGTCATATGCAGCACTTATTTTTCATTATGAGAGTCTTTGGTTGAAACAAAGGTATCTACAATGAGTCTACCCTTTCATAAAATACTTTACACAGATATAATTAGAACACAGAAGCACCAATATCACAAGCTCAAAAGCAGCGTGCAACAGCCAGAGGCAACTGGCAATCACTAGATGTTGTTCACATGATTAAGATTATTTGCCAGTTTATAGGTCAGCAAAAGCTTTTGAACGGTTAGATCCCCTAATTTTACTCACTGTTGACAATTAATCAAAGTTGTTGTTTAAACCGTATACCGTCCTCACTTTTGAAGATTACTAACGAGACCTTTCTGTTATGTTCTTTTTTTTTTTAGTTTTAGAAATACCTAACACCTTCTTTCACACTTTGAATCTAATGTTGAATATACTGTCAAAACTACATAAAATTATCACATCACACGAAGATGATGCTCTGAAGACATTGCAACATGAAGAAGAATTTTCATATGTTTAGGCTGTGTTCTTGAGTTATTGATTTGCTTGTGTTAAAAGCAACGAAAAACCCTGATTGTATTTCTTTGCTCCTCTTTAGAAAACATTTTTCCCCTCAGCTGTTGCAGTTGCTGTGTCATAAAGAATACATCCCTGGCTGGAATTCCCCAGGAAATGTTCAGCTGGAGGGTGGGAAGAAAGGGCTCAGAGAGTCACTGGAGAGTGTGATTGTTGAACAATATTTAATGCATGAGTGTGTAGGAGGTGGAAACTAAAACAGACCCCATGCTGTCGCTGTGACCCAACCTTTTTTTAAAGGGAAATGGATCTATGTTTTTTTTCTTTTTTGTTCCCCCTCTCACTGCTGTCTGTGTAATCGCAGCCTCTTTAGGGGTTGACTTCCTTCCAGTTCAAGGTCTGTACAGAAAAAGGTAAATGTAAAAGCTGACTGCCTTCCTTAGACCTTTGCAAGTGCTTGCATTTCTTTTTTTTTTCTTTTTTTTTTTTTTTTGCAAAAGAACAAAATAGCAGGTAGAGACACTCAATTTATTGTTGGCATACAGGTAGTTTGCAAGATTGCATGAAGTTATGGCCATAATTGTGTCAGAATGAATCAGCTAACTACACAAGTAATAGTTGTTTGTGTTATTATTTGACTACTGGATGTATTAAGCAGCCAGTTACCTTAAAAAAAACTCATCTTGTTCAGGGGGTTGTTTAAGGATTTGAGCGAGGTCTCAGTTGTGATTGCTCAATAACTGGGTCAGAGCATCTTCAGAACTGTGGCTCTTGTTGGGTGTTCCTTGTCTGGACTGATTTATTTATTTTTTTTTTTTGTCAAAATTGGTCCTGAAAAGCCGCTGTGACAAACAGTTGTAAGGGTCAAGGGGAGGAAAGTTTCACTGATGCAGGTAAGGGCAAAGAGTGGCCAGTGTTGTCCTGTCCAACAAACTTACTACAATTCAGATGTTTGACGAAGTTAAAGCTGGTTCTGAGAGAAGGATGTCAAATACACAATCTACAATACAGACATTGCTTTGGCCTTAAGATTTCACAGTTCTATGTCTAATCAAGCATTTCTGAGATGTGTTGTAGAGACAACACTTATCTGTGGAGGTCCCATTTCACAACTTAATAGACTTGAAGAATCTGCTGTCCACTGAAAGCTGGCATCTTCCTTCGGGGTCTATTGGAGTCCATGCCTCAATAGGTCGGTGAGACCATAAGGAGGGGGCTTCACTCTGTTAGCCATGTGATTCTAATTTTATGCCTAATTTATTCACAGAGCAGTGTTTTCTCTAGGATTATGGCTTTGGATAGGTGGAGGAAGATGAGCCCTGACACAAACATTTTATGACACTCACAGAAATGGTATGCTGCGGTATAAGTAAGACATATGGTGTAAGGATATTTAGTTGGCTTAAGAAAAGAACAAGGTACATAGCTGATCAGCTGCTGTTTAGATCTTAAAATTAGTGTCACCTTAAAGGGCATATGGAGCATGTCATTGCTCCATATGCCCATATATTGGTAAGCAAAACACTGAGACCATCGCCAGCATTTTGCACTTGCAGAACTATAAACAAATATGAATTTATACATTTTGTACCTTAATTTATTGATGAAAGAGAAAACCCAGTCAATTGACAACAGTTTATTTGCTTTCTGATTAAAAAAAAAAAAAAAAGTGGCATCAGTTACAGTTAGCTTAGCTGTAGGTCACAATAATAAACGCAAACTATTAAAGCGCAATGGCTCTTACTCTCAACCCAACCCTTACTAATTAATACGGCGCAATATTGAGCATGTTCTACACATGTTGGTTGAGGTGGTGTAATTTTGTTAGTGATGTGCAAGCAGCTACCAGAATTGGGTCAATAAGCGCTACGATGACATGTTCAGTTCTCGGGTCATCGGCAGTTGCACAGCCCTGCGGCACATCTCATGAAGAGGTCGAGTGAGATACCAGCTTGGAGCCGTAGAAAACTGACTTCCCTCAGTTGTGCATTCAGAAGTCGGTTCCAAATTGGATTTGTGGCAGAGATCGGGAATCTGAGGCTTCACTGAGAACCAGGTGCCTTCATGCGGTTTACTGGTGGGCTGCTTTTATTTGTATATAAATATGTTTAGGATTTTGTGTTTCCATGTTACTTTTACCACATATTTTTGTTGACAATTTTACTGTGAATATGAATGTAGTGTGAGTACTTAAAAAAAAAAAAAAATCCTGCAGTATAAGGAAACACGCTCACTCTGTTTTTTACAGAGAAACACTGGGCTGAATCACTGTTCGAAACAAACTGATTATCAGTAAACATTATGTGATAACATTTCTGAGGAACATGTGACATATCGGTCCCTTTAGCAAAGTGGAAAGGATCAACTGATGTTCCTTTGTCTCTGACAGATGAATTATATTGAAAAAAGTCATTTGCAATGTACTGTATTTGAGAGTAAGACAGACTGCTGTGTTGCTGTGTCTGGTCAATATTTTTCCCACTGTTCTTATGGCGCAAACTGCTATATCAGAAGCTTTCAACTTGAGTTGCTTTTGTTGAGGTACAATGGTTGCACGTTCCTGCTCGTTTATGCGCTCTTTTGTCAGCACACTGTTGGAGCTCTGAGTATCTCCTGCCAGAAATGGTTTAATTGTCATAACTGTATTTGATGTTAGACTTAAAAAGGACATCATAAAGTCTTTTGTATGCTTGTGTTATCATGACAGTGGCATTTGTAATTACTCCTGTGAATACAATCCAAAGTATGTGTTGAAAACTTTTATAAACTCTGCAGTTTTTCATGGCCAGTACATGAAAACATGGATGTGAGACGCTTTCAAAGCCTCAGACGGTGTTTTCTTTTACTCCCAAGCATGCAGAGTGTGTATTTTTTCTGGCAGGGTTCTCGAAGGAATGCCACAGGAGGGAGAGGTCAGTGACAGTGGGGCAGAGATCCCCGTTACACAGCATCCACAATCTGCATGAAAGATAAATCATAGGCAGTCTGGTAAGGGTGGTGTAACACTATACAGTGTGGACATTAATCACTTGGTATCCATTTATGATGATTCACAGCCATATTTAAAATATGGTGAAGGTGAAGCAGATATTGGAGAAACTGGTGGTTAATACAGCTGCAAAAATGTTTGAAAATATCTTATATATGTGGCATATATATATATGTGGCATATATATATATATATATATATATCTATATATATATATATATGTCTGTAAGATTCCCTCT